CGGGCCCAGCGGGCATGCGGGTTTGCCATGCCCACCACTGGGGCTTCAGCCTTGTGGGTGCTGGGGCCGGCTCGAGAGGCTGAAGATGCCCAAGCCTGCAAGCCTGGAGCTGACACCGCTGCCAAGGCAGGTCCCACCAGCTCCTGGACTCAGGGGCCGGTGCCTGGGCAGCACCTCTCTAAAGCCCGCAGTGCCAGGGGACGCGCTGGGCTGGCGTGGGAGCAGGGGTGGCACCGCTGCTGGTGCAGCACGCGGAGCCCGTGCCGGCGTACCACACGCACCCGACCTCCGCAGCAGCATCGCTTCTACGCCTGTGGGGGCCAAGGATGGTGGGGGCCTGACCTGGGAGGCTGCATGCAGCTGGACAGTGCGTCACCACGTCACCCGGATGAACAAAGTCATTCCAGGGCTGCAGTCCCAGGTCCCTCCATTGCACCGCTCCAGCACATCGGCTTCAGGTCTGCACTACCAGCAGTGGCCAGGCTCTGGGCATCTCCGCCCGGTGCAGCCAGCTCCGTGGGTGCCGTCACCATCCCTGCTCACCACCAGCATCCAGGACATTCCCACCACCACAGGGACGTGTTTCTGCCACAAACGCCCTCTCCACGGGAGCCCCCTCTGCCCCACAGAGGAGCCGGGATGCGTCTCATTTTGCCCGTGGCCTGGCAAGGCCCGTGGTTGTGTTGTGTTTCTGTTCTTGCTGTAAGCTAACCGCTAAAGTATCTCTTTATACAGAATACTTACAGATTCTAATATATATTTGTATTTCATTTTGTTATAGTATTTTTATATGTTCGGGGTCAACAAATGATGTTTTCTTTTTGTTTACAGATGCTACTGGGCAGGAAAATGACGGTGGCTTTGTTTGGCCCGTGGGGTTTGTGTGTGTCACTGTTGAAGACGCTGGTTTGTACTAGGCTGGCAAGGGAGGCGCTGAGCATCCTTCCGCTGGCAGAGGCTGTATTGTTTTAGGAGGTGTTTGGTATTGTCTATGTTGTCTTCCATGTGAACATGACATTTATTCATTCAGAGGCTTGGCCCCTTCTTTCCTGGAGGGGAGAAAGGGGCAGCTGGTGCTCAGGAGCTGCTGGGCGTACAAGGAGGTGGCACAGG